AGAGACCTGCTGAGGCCACTCACAGAATTCACCCTCTCCCAGGCCACTAGTCCTCTGAAGAGTGCTGTTTGTGTGATGGTGCCCTGGGGCTACCCTGCTGCCTTCCCTGGACCACAGAGGACATGTGGTCCCACTTTAAATGCCTTTCCCATCAGTGCCGATGTCAGGATTTGGGTAGGAAAACAGATACCAGAAGGGGGATGAATTCCATACAGAGACTTGGGAAGGCGGGGTTAGGAAGGTCAGAAAAGGTTCTGCCTAGGACCCAGGAATCACAGGACCTGATACCAGTGTGCCTGAAGTTCTGCAGGTGTGATTTTTCTGGGAAATATCTGGCAGAACATCATATCTCTCACCCCTGTGCACACGGGCAGTTAGCACTAAATCAAGGACCTGGTGGCTTCTCTCCCTGTTTTCAAACCCCCCAGAAGCCTCTCATTCATCCTGTTCACAGGGAGCCTGGAGGATGTGACCTTCAAGCTTTTGGCCAGGCAGAGGAGAGCTTAGAAGAGCAGAAGTTGTGCTGGGTGTCATTTTCAGAAGGGCTCAGGTCACATTCAATCAAAAACATCCTGCTTGTGTCTGAAGGGTCAATAAGCACCAGTACATTGTTAATTGTATGCATAATCACCCGTGACATGATGTCAAGTTATTTGACATCAAAGAATCTTGTTCAGAAAAGGAAGGTAAGAAATTAGGGAAATGACACTTTCGCAATCAACTCAACTGTATCTTACTTATTTGAACTTTTATCAAATTATAATGTCAGATTTAAAGTCAGAAATTATAAAAATAATAGAATACTTAAAAGGTGATTTTTTTTTTTTTTACTTCAAAGATCAGTGAAAGATCATCTGCCTAGATAAATAAAAAGAACAAAACTCATCTAACAAGAGACCTGGGATAGTTTATTATTCACCTGAGTCTAGATTTGTAACTAATGAAGTGCATTCATTTGTACTCTTGGCTCAGAAGGAAATTGTTTCCTGAAAATCAACCCAGAGTTCACACTTTCAACCTGTTTACCACCTAGTTCAGCCAGTGTTGACAGAAAAGATGCCTCAAAAAGCGTTTTATAAAGCAAGGCAAGGCCAGCTTGGATGTGGCACTTTTTTTTCTAGAATTAATTGCCTTCATCAGAGGAGCCCACTATTCCAAAATTCTTCTGGGATCTCCTTTAGCCATTGTTTGAATATTTGAGGTGTTGGTGCTCTTTGTATGCCTTTTTAGCAATTCAGAAATTCTACAGCCTGTGCGTGTGTGTGTGTGTGTGTTTAATGAAAGCCACATTTTCCATCTTGTGAGGTGTCACTAATTTTAGTCCTAATGCCACAAATCACTAATAACACATTATATTCATGTTTCTCTGTGGTTCTAATTCTTCATCTGGGTTGACTTTCCAGATTTTCATCTGAGAGAGGTATTTGTGATACATAGGTTGACCAGCTGCTTGGAATTCCTGGCCTTCATATTGTGGAGTGCCTAATTTGGGTTCTGACTCTGTTTCTAATCCAGCTTCCTACTCATGTGTGAAGCAACAGGTAATAGCTCATATACTTGGGTTCACGTATATCTGGGAGAATCAGATGGTGTTCCTGGTTTCTGCTTGGCCCAGCCCTGAATGTCACAGGAATTTGAGGAGTGAGCCAGTGGATGGGAACTTCCACCTCTCTCTTTCTCACTCTGCCACTCTGCATTTCAAGTGAATAAAGCTTAAGAAAAAAAAAAGAACCTTCAGTTGTATTGTGGGGGGATTTATGTAAAAGCCTTCCAAGTTTGCAGGTTGCATTCACATCTATCTTATGTGACCTCAGTGACTTAATGATCACCTGTGGAGGGGGATTGTGGGAAAGTAGTCTCAGCCTCACTTCTGCACAAGAAAATTAAATTCCAAAAGGTTGATTATCTAGACTACAATAGCGAGATCCTTGGCTCTGAGTTCTGTAATCATCCTAGTTTCCTAGACACAAATAGAAATATTTGTATTTTCCAGCATGTCTAGTGCAGGCTGTGAGATGCTCTGACTCTTTACCAGTTGTGTGCAGTTTGGGTGAAGGTTTCCATAGCTTTGTTTTTTCCCCTCCCCTAAAAAAATTCAGAAACATCAAAAGCATAGGAGGATTTTTAGGAAGAAGAATTAATTTCTACCACTATGTCAAAATGTACACTTTAGGTCAAGATTGAATATATATGTAATTTGATCTTTTATAAGAAGTCTATAATTCTAAGTAAACTCAGTTGAAGGTTTAATTACATATTTGTTTTGGATTCACTTACTAGCAGTTAAAAGTTCATTTTGTAAGGCACTTGTTACACAGTCAAGAAAGAAAAATAAAATGTATACCCAAAGAAACACATATGAATAGGATGTCCCAGTGCAAATGTCTGTAGACAGTCCTTTGCTTTACTGATGGGGCTCAGGTTGGAACTGTGCAGAGGGGACCAGAGGGAAATAACTTGACTGTGGAATTCAGAGTGAAAGAAAAAAAAATCTGCTTTTTATTAAGTCCCAGAGTGTGTGTTTTAAGTGGGCTGTTTCTGCCCAGATGGCCCCTCTCATGCTGACATCTGCAGAGTGGATGTCAAACCCCGTTGTGGTGTTATCTTCTGTGGCAGTGCAGACACGTGTTCCTCCATGGAAAACCAAGACCTTGGAGTCCTCCATGCTGGTTCTGCCAGCACATGCTGAAAACGTCTGTGCTTCATGAACCAGGCAGAATCTTATGTATTTTGCTCTCAGAAAGGACTGGGATTTTTTAAAGCAGTTATGAACATTTAGGCTCTATTCGTAAACCAACTGCTCGGGTGTAGACGCAAGATGCTGAGAGTCTGCGCTGAAATAGAAATGTAATAAAATGCTTTTTAAAAGTTGGGACATGTTTTGTTCAAATGTGTGTTTTCATTTTGCATTTATCCAAAAGTCCTCTTCAAATTTTTATTTAATCAAGATATAACCCCATATATACACATTGTTTTAACTGACAAATACAAACTGTGTACCTATGATTTGCAACATGTTTCTTCATACACATAAATCATAAAATGATTAAATCAAGCTAATCAAGTTATTGATAATTGTCTTTCTTCATGTATGTGATCAGAGCATTGAGTCTATTCTCTTAGCAATTTTCAAGTACATATTATTTTCAAAAAAAATTTTACATACTTATTTGCCAGGGTGTGTTTGTGTGTGTGTGTGTGTGTGTGTGTGTGTGTGTGTGTGTGAGAGAGAGAGAGAGAGAGAGAGAGAGAGAGAGAGACGGATGGACAGGCACTCAGGGAGTCCTTATCCATTAGTTCACTCCCCAAATGCTGACAGGGGCTGGGACTAGGCTGGAGCCAAAGTCAGGAGCCAGGAATACAACCAGGTATCCCACGTGGGTGGCAGTCTTAAATCTGTGAGGCATCACCATGTCTCCTGAAGTCTGCATTAGGTGGAAGCTGGAGTCAGCAGCCAGAGCTAGACATTGAACCTAGGAACTCCTGTGTGGGGCACAGGCACCTTAAATACTAGCTTAGACACCTGCTTTGTATATTATAATCTAGTTTCACCATGTTATAAGTCGATCTCTAGACTTACTCCTTCTAATGGAAACCTTCTACCCTTGGTGACCAGCATCTCTTCACCTTCCACTCAGCATCTTTGTAACCACCATTTTACTCTGGGTTTTCAGGAGTTCAGTCTTCCTAGATTTGCAAAAGTGAGAAAATGTGGTGTTTGTCTTGTGCCTGGCTTATTTTGCTTAGCACAATGTCCTTCAGGTTCATCTCTAGTGTTGGAAGTCACAGGATTTCCTTTCCTTTAGAGGCTTATTCCATTTGGCATGTGTACCACATTCTCTTGGTCCACTATTCTACTGATAGATACAACAGATAGGTCCCATATCTCAGTTATTGTGCATAATATTGCAATGAACATGGAAGTTGCGATATCTCTTCAGTGTAGTTTAATTGGCTATTTAACCAGAAGTATGACTGATAGATCATGTGGTAATATTATTTTGAGTTTTGAGTTTTGGGTTTTGTTGTTGTTGTTGTTTTACATAGATCCAGGGCCTGGTGTGATAGCCTAGTGCTAAATCTTTGCCTTGCATGTGCCAGGATCCCATTTGGGTGCTGGTTCCTGTCCTGGCAGCTCCACTTTCCATCCAGCTCCCTGCTTGTGGCCTGGGAAAGCAGTGGGGGACGGCCCAAAGCTTTGGGACCCTGTGCTCACGTGGGAGACCTGAGGAATCTCCTGGCTCTTGGATTCCAGCTTCCTATTGACTCAGTTTTGGCCACTGTATCCATGGTCAGTTGGGTCAATTGGGGTGTGAACCAGCAGCCAGAAGATCTTTCTGTCTGTCCTTCTCTTTGTAAATCTGCCTTTCCAGACTTCCAATAATATGTTGAATAGAAGTAGTAATAGCAAGCATCCTTATTCCACATGTCAGAGGAACAAATGGCAACTTTTACCACCACATACACCACCACTATAGATGTCTGTGGGTTTGTGACAGATGGTCTTTACTATGTTCAGCTATTTTCCTTCTCTACCTCATTTGTTGAGTTTTTTTTTTTCCACAATGAAAGAAGGTGAATTTTTTTGCATCTATTATGATGATAGTATGCATTTGGTCCACATTTTGGTATAAATTGTAATGTTGATGTTGTGTTTTATACTAGTGATTTACCTATGTGAGCCATCCTTGTATCCCACAGGTAGTTTCCACTTGTTCACAATGAATGATGGTTTTGATGTGCTGGCGAATGCAGGTTGCTGGTCTGTGCTAGCTATTGGTCTGGATATCGGAAATCTCCTTTGCTTTTTGTGTCCTTGGGTAGCTTTGGTGTCAGAGCAATACTGGCTGTGGGAACATTTCCTTACTCCACAGTGTTTTAGAAGAGGTCATAAAGGATTGGTATTAATCCTTCAAGTAATTTTAATGTTTGGATTTATTATTATGCATTTTAATGCACAATCATGTTTGCAATTTATTAATAGTTCATCTCCTTGTCAGACAACAGAAAGATCCGAGTTAATGGAACCAAAGAACCGATAGAGTTTAAATCGAATCAATGGTTTGGCGCAACAGTGAAGGCTCACAAGGGGAAAGTTGTGGTGAGTATGGGCTGTGGATGGTGGTGCTGCTTTGGAATATTGCATTCTCTGAAGTATTTTAAAGTTCACACTCAAAAAAATCCTTTATATAAGAACAGGTTAGGCTTTTAGAGTTTATTGTTTTGGCATCTCAAAAAATGCTTAAAACTAAAGCATCTATTCAAAGACATAGGAAATAATTGTTCCCATATCAGTTATTTTCAATTATTTCACACATTACTACACTAGAAAAAATAAAGCCTGAATCTTGAAGAGGCAAGTATTTTATTGCTAAAGATGATTTAAAAGACTGCCTACAATTTGATCAGAAGGAAAAGACTATTTAAAAATTGAGTTAATGTGTTATTGTGAGTTTTTTTTTTTTAAATAAAAAAACCCAAGTTTTCTCCAATAGTTAAAAAAAAAAAAAAGAAAACAGCTGGGCCATTCCGTAAAAGAGTGTTGGTTTGAGTCCCACATGCTCTGTTTTTATCCAACTCTCTGCTAATGCACCTAGGAAGGGCATGGAAGATGGACCAGGTACTAAGGCCACTGCCATTCACATGGGAGACCAGGATGGCGTACATGGTCCCTGGCTTCATCCTGCCCCCACCTCAACCATTGTGGCTATTTGGACAGTGAACACCAGAAGCATGGGAGATGCTCTCTCTGCCACTCTGCTTTTCAATTAAATTTTAAATATTGAATTTATAAAACCTGGTAATTATGTGATTTTTCTTAGTTCATTAATGCTTTTGAAAGATACTCTCAAACAGGTACCTTTCAGTTTTTAGTCCTATAACTTTTTAATGGCATGCTTTTGTTTTACTAAGAAAATACATGTATCTAAATTATTGAGAAGTAACTATTGAACAGATCTGGAATGGTATGGGTTTGTTTTTCCCATTTGGGGACATTTTAATCTGTTAGCTTTAACTATAATAAAGAACTAGCTTTGACTTTTAGGATTTGTTTAAAGCTTTTGAAATATGATTTAATAAGTAACCACAGGAAATGCCTGACTTTATTTAGTCTGTGTTGAACCCTCCCCTTCAAGTAAAGAAAAAAAAGATTCTGACATAAAACAGGTAATGTATAACATATAGATACTTCCTCTGGTTTGAAACTTATTATTCATAGTCTACTCCCTGTAGAATTATATTTGCATTAATGTAGTTCTCAAATTTGAGAATTAGTAAGGATGTTTCTATCCTTTATAGTATGTGACTTATGGGACTCACTAGTGAATAACAAATCCTACTCAATAACTCTTAGGGATTAAAAATCTTTTGGGCACAATATTAATCCTTTTAAGTTTTAAAAATTTATAACCTATTAGTATTGTATATTAAATATTTATAAAAACCAAAAAGGATTGAGAATAATTTTACTTTATTGTAATAAGAATGGCATTTTTTTTTGCATGCTTGCATTTCTAAATTATTTGATGGTAAATACGATAATATAAAAGATGTTACCATGTTATTTTCATGACTCTATGATGATATTTTATAAAGTGACCAATATAGTCATAAGATGTTATATTTTGCCTTCAGTTTTGAATCAAAACTACCACATGAAAAGTAATGCCAGAAACACAGATAAGAGAGGACTTTGTGCAGATGAAATTCTAGGGGAGCCTGCAAAACAGAGGTTTGCAAACTTGACTGCATCCTTTGACTTGAAAGCCTTTCCTTCTCTTTGCTTTCTCTTTTCTTTTCTTTTCTTTTCTTTTCATTTCTTTTCTTTTCCTTTCCTTTCCTTTCTTTCTTTCTTCCTCCCTTTCTTTCTTTCTTTCTTCCTCCCTCCCTCCCTCTTTCTTTCTTTCTCTCTTTCTTTCTTTCTTTCTTTCTTTCTTTCTTTCTTTCTTTCTTTCTTTCTTTCTTTCTTTCTTTCTTTCTCTCTCTCTCTCTCTCTCTCTCTTCCTTTCTTAATATAAAACAACAGTTACCTAAAAAAGGAACTAGTCCTCATTTCAGGACATCACAATGAATCATTCTCTAATTGAACTATCATTGGCTTTTATGTAGGTCCAATTTTTTTGAAAGAAAATATGAGTCCATTACTTTTAGGAGGTATTTTCTTTTGTCAGATTACTTTATTTAAGTTAAAATAATGTAAGGCAATTAATTAATTGAATATATTTAATTTTTATAAATTATACATGTAATCATATCTTTGTGGGAGCCAAAATTAAAAAGAAAATTAAAAAAAACCAGGAAAGTGTCTGTGTATGTTAGCATTGCTACAAATATAGTTTTGTCAACCCTGTTTTATATCTTTACTAAAGTCATGTTTAAGAGTAATATACTACCACTGTCTTAATGATCTGTGATTATTTTAAAGTTACTATCTGTGAGTGAAATGGTCATATTTTCATTTGAGTTTTGTTTATAGTCCTTGTCCACTGACCTAGGGTCTTTTACTTGTTGAACTGTTTATACAGTGGAGTGTTAAGCCTTTGACTTTCATGCAAGTTAAAAATATGTTATCTCAAACATCAAAGAAAGAAGGAAGGAAGAAGAGAAGAAGGGAGGAAGGAAGGGAGGAAGGGGACAAGGAGGGAGGGAAGAGGGAGGCACAAAGTAGGAGAGAAGCAGAAAAGGAAGTAAGAGTATATCCTTAGAAGCATGTTTATGGTCTGCACTGAATCTGCTCTTTGTAATAATAGCATATGAGCATGAGAATTGAAGGGAATCATATTGTAGTTATATTATAGTATAATTAGAATATATTACCCCGCATTTGTTGTGACTCTGATAATCTAATTATTATACTCCTTAAATAAAAAAGTACAAAAAATTGCTTTGGAAGTTTAATTTATGCAGAGTGTTGAGGTACTCATTAGCATGCGAGAGGCCAATTAGTAAACTTAATAATTTAACATAGTTGCCATTACTTAAAGTACACTAATCAATCATTCAAATCAAACTATAGAATGATGAACCTGCTTCAAAAATATGATTGCCTTTGATTTTTTCTAGGCTTGTGCTCCTTTATATCACTGGAGAACTCTTAAACCTACAGCGGAGAAGGATCCTGTGGGCACTTGCTATGTTGCGATTCAGAATTTCAGTGCCTATGCAGAGTACTCTCCTTGCCGGAACAGTAAGTTATTTCTATCCCTTGAGCCTGTACTTTAGCTGAAGAGGCTTTTCATTGTAGACAGAAAGCAGATAAGCTCAAAATGCTTTTGATGAGTGATGTGCTTTAGCAGTGTAGCTTGTTGACAGTAGGTCTTGATGTAATAACGGGGCCCACGGGCAGAATTCTGCTCTTCTTTCTGCTTTCTTAGATATTGCAGTTTCTTGTTTTAGATCTTCAACTGCCAGTTGCTACCCATGAGCACTCTGGGTGAGCCATAGAGAATGCTGGTGCCCCTTTGCTTCACGCAGGGAGTGGTGTTAAGGCAGTGGGCCTGGGCCTGGGAGCACCTGCCTAGAGCTTTCTCTCTGGCCTCTGTTCTCAGTGGCTGTGGCTTTAGTGGACAGATATATCTCACATTCCCTGACTCACTAACTTTTCTGCTTCAGGTGGTGAATCTTTTTTTTCCCCCAATACACTCTATATCTAGAATCTAAATCTTATTCGACAGCTCTGTCAGTCTTCTGGTCAGGCATTCTTTCTAGCAGCACCGTGAGGGTCATTCACCGGGACATTGCTATAGGATTACTTCATCCTGGCGGCCAACACAAGGACTTTAGGATAACACAATTGGCTCAATAAGTGATTGTGCTCCTTTAAGTCCTTTTAAGAACATTTTAATTTCCTATGGGTCAGATAGATCACCGAATCTGTAGACAAACCAACAATGGATTTCCATTCTGATTCTTACTAAGGGGAACCAATATCATTAGCAAGACCATCCTCATGACTCATTTAAAAAATGTTTGTTGTTTTAAAAAAGAACCCCAATCTGGATCCTGCATGGTAGCCTAGTGGCTAAAGTCCTCGCCTTGCATGCACCAGGATCTCATATGGACACAGGTTTGTGACCTGGCTGCTCCATTTCCCATCCAGCTCCATGCTTGTGACCTGGGAAAGCAGTGGGGGACGGCCCAATGCCTTGGGACCCTGCACCTGCATGAGTACCTAGAAGAAGCTCCTGGCTTCAGATTGACTCAGCTCTGGTTGTTGTGGCCACATGAGGAGTGAACCAGCAGATGGAAGATCTTTCTCTGTTTCTCCTTCTCTCTGTAAATATGTGCTTCCAATAAAAATAGATAAAAACTTAAAATCTTAAAAAAACACAAAAAAATCTTCTCCAAATTAATTGGATTTCTGTAGCTGTAAGTTAAGTTTTTCCCACTTTGCAGGAGTATTTTTCTTTTAGATTTATTTATTTTTATTACAAAGTCAGATATACAGAGAAGGGTGGAGATAGACAGGAAGATCTTCAGTCCACTGATTCACACCGCAAGCAGCCGCAATGGCCAGAGCTGTGCCAATCCAAAGCCAGGAGCCAGGAGTTCTTCCAAGTCTCCCACAGAGGTGCAGGGTCCCAAGGTTTTAGGCTGTGTTTGACTTCTTTCCCCGGCCACAAGCAGGGAGCTAGATGGGAATTGGGGCTGCTGGGATACAAACTGCTGCCCACATGGGATCCTGGCACATGCAAGGCAAAGACTTTAGCCACTAGGCTACCACGCCAAGCCCTGCAGCATTATTTTTAAAACTCAAGATTATTTTAGAAAAAGCAAACGGTAAAAAAAAGTCAGATAAAAAATGAAGATAAAGAAGGATCAGCATATTAGGGGGTTAACAAATAGGCCACTGAGATTAGAGGCTTGAAGAATTGGGAGGGAAACACTTTAACTCTGACAGTTTGGGGTGAGGGTTTTGGCAGGAAGATTCTGCCCTTCCGCTTGAAAATACTGAAATAAATCAGTTCACTTTACAATAGTTGTCAGCTGAATAAATGATTTGCGAAATAAGGTTTTTATTTTAAATAGCTTTAAAAATGGTGGTTCTTTGTAGATAATGAGGCATTTGTTCATTTAGCACTAATGACTCGGAGTTTAGAAAATTCTACAAACAGCAAGAGAATGTTAAGTCCTGACATAGGAAAGACAATCAAGAAAGGAGGGAGAAGCCAGGGGCCTGGGACGGGAGCTAACGGATTGGGAGTGAAGCAGAGATTCCTTTAGCCAGCAGCTGTTAGGACAAGGAGAGAAGCAGCTTCCCTGGGCCCAAACCATGGTGAATGAGAGGCATAGTTCGTGACTTTTGCTTTCAAAGTGCCATGCCTCATCAGAGTGTATTAAGAAATCAGCACTACATGCTAAAGATAAAATTCAGGTAGAGAGGTAATAAATGAAAATCCCAAATTTACTCAGGAAACAAAAGGACAGGCTGTGATTTAATAGTGAACTTCTCCCCACCACAGTTTTCATGATTTGTTAAAGATCCATAATAGCATAATAGCGTATATAGCAAACTTATAATAGCAAACTCTAATGAATACAGACAGACCTTTCCTTCACACGGCTCCTGCTTTGATAATGGATTATATCCTTCCAACTAGCATCGAGGAGGATCACCTCTAAAACTCATCACTGCAGCTTGCTCTGCCTTTTGGCCTTACAGTAGTGGGATGTTAGAGCTCAGATTAAAATACATCACATGTATGTGGAATCTTGTCCAGCAGGATGGAAGATTCATTGTGAATTCGAACCATGTTTAAAAGATGTAAATTATGATACTTGCCCTTCAAGACTATAACACCAATGGATCTATTCTTTATTCTTCTAAAACACAGGAACCACCCAGCCCATATTGAATTGCAGAATAGCTCAATAAATTACCAAGGATTCTTTCAGCTCTAATGCACAACCACAGAGCTCACATCCTTGTGGCCTTCCTATTCAGACTTGGACTTTTTCTGCCTCACATCATCCAACAGACTTCCTGTCATGGCTCAAAAATTCACAGTTCATTAACACAAAGCCAGCTTGTTCAGGAGCATATGGTCCATATCCTACAACAGGGACACCAGTGATATTATTTTCAAAACGGAATTAAGAAGCCCTCATGCTGGTTCTGCACCACAAAATCCTTCCACTGATCCCAGGAGCTGTGTCCCTCAGGAGTAGCAAGGGAATTTGCTCATTCATATTCATGATAAGCCTACAACCCTTATTGTCATTCATGATTCAGGTGGGGATGGGTTACACATACCCCTTCACTTCACGATTTCAGAGTTCCCTAGGAGACATCACAGTCTGTTTTACAGATACTCCACAATCCTGGGAAGGAAGAATTCCTTCAGCTCTCATAAATTCTACTTCTAAAGGAAAAAATTTAACACTCTGTTATGTTGGCCACAAATGACTGAAGTTGATGATGAAGTGAATTTTGTGAAAAATTAATATTCTCAGCAAATTTCATGAAAATTTGTTAGCTCCTCTTTTCAGTTTTCTGTTTTAAAGCAAAAAATTATTTCAAATACTTCAAAGAGTGGCCATTTCTTCCCTTTCTGGTAATTTACTATATTAAAAAAAATTAGAATTCAGAGTTGATTTTTAAGAGTTTTAAAAGATTTATGCATTTAAAAATATGGTTTCAAAATATACTCAGGGTAACAGATATATGTTTACAGAGTGCTATTCACATATTTCTGGATGTATACATAAATATTTATATCAATGGACTTGTAGAAAACTCACACCAGTCATTGAGATTATAAGATGAGTTTTTAGGGGACTTTACAGGATTTATAACCAACTACAGTTGTAAAGGAAGGGACTAATTGTGCTAAAATAGTAAATGAGGTAGAAAAATATCTTTAAAAATAAAGAAAGCATCTGGAAAGAATTGATGACAATTCTAAAATTAGCTAAGTACTGACAAAAGAAAAGGAAACCGAAAAAACCTCACAGAAGGCATTCTAAGAAAAGCTGGAAAAAATAGATCTATTTCAAAAGCTTCTGGAACCAGTCCATGCTCAGCCTGTAGTGTTTTCTGATGAAGATGTCCACTTCCTTTCCTGCCTCCTTACTTTAATTTCCATCTGTGAATGTCTTCATAAGGAAATAGTAATTATTTACATATTCATGCTTAACTGCAGTGGTACTTGCACACATTTGTAGATGCTGATAGTCCCTGCGGATGCTCCTGAGAAGCACTGCTTTTCAACTTACTACTTGTTGAATTCTGTATTCAGTGGAGGGTAAATCTTCTGTTTATTAGGAAATTGGAAGTCTATCATTGTAAAAATTAAAAGGAAAACAAAGAACAGAAGCAAGGCAGCGCAGAAATGGAAACCCTGGCTGGTGCTCAGCGGAGAGCACTCACAGACCATCTTGTAGAGCTTTCCTTTTTCTAGGGCATTGGCTGTTAGCGATGGAGATTTACCTGCCCTTGCTCGAATTGAATGGGCACAGTAAGACAAGCCACATGGGAGAAGTGGAATGTCATCGAAAGGTTTTGTTGAATGAACATGAGTTATAATCTCCAACATGCAAAGTCCAAGGGATGCGGTCCTGTTCATCTTACTATAGCATCCCAAGGAGATTTGTGAAACAGAAATTGGTAGAAACAGATTTCATAGAGTGCTTGGAATGAATTTAAAAATGTACATATTGATTATCTGCATATATCATATGTAGGTAATCTTTAACCTAGAAATCTAGAGATATCAGAATATCTGGATGACGTTGTAACATTTGTCTGTCTTGTTCATTTGAGGCAATGCTGACCCTGAAGGCCAGGGCTACTGCCAAGCAGGATTCAGTCTGGATTTTTATAAGGTAAATTTTTTTGAGCTTGCTGCTTCTAAATTTTAATCTGCTTGATTCTTTATACAACTTTTATCCTCTCACTCCTACAAACCTGAAACAATAACCAAAGAAGTTTTGGGCACTTATTTATAGCCATACTTGATCATGTACATCGTTTTGTTTACTCTTAATTCATTTTCAAGTAACCTATGCATACAACAACCTATACACAGTACAGAAATATATTTGACGAAAAGCAAGTCTTTCCTCCCAACTTCTGTAGCACTTACATGAAAATCTCCAAAACTCAGTAAAAAAAAAAACTTTCTAGAAAAGATGACAAGAATTTACAAATTGTTTGCTCTTTTTGCAGTAATTGACCAAGTAGACCTAGTAGGCAAGGAATCTATAGTTTTGAAAATAGTGGAAAAAATCTTCACTTGTACTGTTTTTAACATTGTTTTGCTTTGGCCACTGAATGGTAATGATGCACAGTATAGATGCTGGGGCTATAAGTCGATGGGAAGAGGTTTATATTTGCTAACCAGATATTTCTGTTCTTTTTCCTGAAAAGGAGGGCAAATGTATGAAAAAAGAGGCCCTGCTAAGATGACTTTGTAATAAACTAATATGGATGTTTTCCTTTTCTCACCAAGGCTTAAAAGACCAGATCTGCTACTTTTCACCATTTTAAACAAGTAGAACTTCGCTTACCAGTGGCAGGACTAAAAACGTGAATTTTATGTTCCCCAGTGGGGGAGTTCTACTTACTTAATTGAGACAATCTGAAATTATTTAATATGCTAATACACTAAATAATTGAAAGTTAGAAATAGGAAAGAAAATTAGCTGCAAGTCTCAGATCTAAGGGACTCCTTGAATTTTTTTTTAAATGTGTAACAACTTGTTAGAGCAATGTTAATTAACTATGATTTGCCATCCTCCAAAAAAATTTTTTTTTTCAATTGCTGCTATTGCTGTTTCTGTTTTGTAGAATGGGGATCTTGTTGTAGGAGGACCTGGAAGTTTCTACTGGCAAGGTATGTTCTGTTGGCAGGGAAGGAAAGCACATTTGTTGCTACAGACTGGAAGACGAAGTAGAAGTAAATCAAATGTCTAGTCATTATCCAGTCAATGGGATTTCCCTATTTGTAGTTTGGGGATAAAGCATTGTTTCAATTGTATCTTGCTCTAGACATGATATTTGAAAATTTCCTTGCAACTGAAGTCGTTTCTCTGCCAAAAACTTATTGGGGCTCCACCAGTCTTTGCACTAGATGCCAGGGGTACAACAGTGAGTTGTGTCAAAACAGGGATTCCCATCTGGGGAAGGATGCAGGCATTGATCCAATATATTCATACAGGGACCTGGGAAGTTCTGAGCATGGTATATATGGCCTAAGGAAGGAACAGCATGATGGTGCTGTGAGACCATGGGGGTACCCTCCGCAGTGGCCATGTACTGGTGTTCTGGAATACCACCTGCACCCTGCTTCAGAAGTATGGATGTAGGTGCAGGTCAGCCTATTCATGTACCAGAGAGGATGGCTTCTTCTAATGCTTCCAAATGGCCCGACACAGGCCAACAGCAGCCCAGAAATGCAGTGTGGGTTGGATGGAGGGAAATCAGGGTAACCAGAGTTACAAGAACCAAGAAAAGGTCTGTCAGTGGTATAGAGTGGTTCTCCCCACAACACAGATTGCCAGGACAGAATAGGCAGTTGTATTCTTAAACTACAAACAATAGGAAACATCTGTTGGATTTTAAGCATTTAAAGAGATGAGGTTAGGTAGTGCAACGTGGTATTCTCTGTCCTAAGAAGAATGGAAAAATAGGCATCTGTGCTATGATCAAATTTGTGATTTAAAAAAGGTCATCTGGGGTGGTGTTGTGGCACAGTTGCTTAAACTACTACCTGTGATGCTGGCACTCCATATCGGGTCACCAGTTCATGTCCCAACTGCTCTACTTCTGACTTAGCTTCCTGATAATGTGCCCAGGAAGGCAGTGAAAGATGGCCAGAGTACTCAGATACATGCCACCCATTTGGGGGACACATGGAGTTCTAGGCTCCTGGCTTCAGCCTGGTCTAGCTCTGTTCATTGTAGCCATTTGAAGAGAGAGTCAGTAGATGTATCATCTCTCTCTCTGTCTGTCTCTTTCCCTTTAAAGTAAATAAAATAAAGAATAAGTCTTTTTAAAAAAATCACTCTGGTTGAAATATAGAAAATGGATTGTAAGTTGACCAAAATATCAAGAGATTATAAGCTAAATGAGGTCAACTAGTTGTAAGGTTTGGGTAACCATGTGTCTATCATAGGGTGGTGATGCTACAGATTTTAAAAAGAAGAGAAATCTGACACATGCTTTGCAGGCAAAATAAACCGTCCAAGTGATGGATTGGATGTAGGAAGAAAATAATGGGAGGATGACAAGCCTGTGTTTCTGACTTTTGTCATTGCATGTTTGTACACGGGTATCACTTAATGAGATAGAGAACACTGGGTCTAGAGTGGGAAAGAGAGATGATAGGCTAGCTTTTGATTATGTTGAGTGTGGAAATATTTGACATATCCAATAGTTCCTGCAAAAGTATCTAGATTTGTGGGTGCAAGCTCAGAGAAGATAGCTAGAATGAAATACAAATTCACATCACAAGCATATTAGCAATAGCTGAAGCCTTGGGTATGGATGGCAACTAAGTAAAGAAGACAGACTGAATTTTGGGTGTAAATTTTAGGACAGAAGTGGAATAGAATCTAAGACCTATGAACATTTGAGGGAGAATTTTTTTTCCAATGAATGAGACTTGATCATGTTTAAAATTCATTAGGGCAGGCCAAAAGAGATGGATTCATGATAAAAATTTCTGTGAAGTTACTGTTAAGTTTAATTCATGTCTAAGCAATTACAAAAATAAAACAATTAGCCTTCTATATTTGTATATTTGAAAATTACATTGTAACCTGAAAGCCAATATATTTTACACAAGTGATATAAAATTTTAAAAATATTTTTTAAAATGTTCTTTATTTTATCAATTTTCTCAATTTCAGCATTTCCTTACTTTGCAAAAAAAAATCCTACACAAATGATTTGCTTAGGGCATATAGAAGCATTTCACTGACATGGAGTTGTATAATTTATAAGTTCATCCAGGCTTGATTTATAATGTTTATAGTAGAAATAAAGGAGACAACAAAAGGCTGTGTGTGTGTGTGTGTGTGTGTGTGTGTGTGTGTGTGTGTGTGTGTGTGGTGGAAGGTTGGGGGGAGAACTATTTATCTTTAACACCCCCCCAAATACCAAATTCTAGACATTATGTATGGACTTCTATGTAAACACAATTGTCTTAATACTAGAATAATTATTTCATTCTTGATCACTTAAAACTATTTATTAACTTGTTTGACAATTTTACTCCTTTTGGACTTCACACAGATAAAATGGGAATTAGGTGAATTCCCAAAGAATGATTTGACATTAGCATCAAATGTTGAAACAGTTTTCTCTGAGTATCAAATCACATTTTTGTCTCAGATGCTTGAATGCATAGAAATTACAGCAGAAAATTACTGGATGCTTTTTTGGACATTGATCTCCTTGCGGAGATCCTATTTCAAGACTTCTGATTGTGGCTTTATTTCTAAGAGATTAGCCAGTTCTTATATGTTAATGTTGGTGGCCAGGGATTCCTGTTTGCTAAAATTGTGAACCTCACTGTATGTGACTGCTTGCTATTATCACACCTCTATGCTTTTTCTATATATTCTAGGAGCACAACAAGCTAATGACTCAAAGATGATATAATTCCCTTTAATTTAGCCAGTATGTTTATAGTCTATCACTTAGATAAATGATTTAGATTTAATGCAATATCCATTCTTTTCCAAAATGATTTTGCTAGCATGCCAAAGTGATTTTGCTTCTACCACCAGGTGCCCAACCAGTAAATCCAGGTGGCCTTAGGTGACACACTCAAGCTCTTTGGGTCTCAATTTTCCCCACTTTTAGAAAGTTATATTTAGGGGTAGGTGTTCCCTCCACAGCACTACTGGCATTACATATGGACAACAATTTGAATCCCAGCTGCTCCACTTCCAATTCAACTCCATGACAATAGCCTGGGAAGGCAGCAGAGTACGGCCCAAGTCTTTGGGCCCCTATACCCATGCAGGAAACCAGGAAGAAGTTCCTGGCTCCTAGCTTCAGCCTATCCCAGCTCTTGCAGTCATAACTATTTGGGGAATGAAATAGCAAATAAAAGCTCTCTCTCTCTTGTTGTAATGCTGTCTTTCAAATAAATAAATCTTTAGGAAGCCATTTTTTTTTTTTTGCTAGATGGTTTTGAAGTTTCCTTCTAACTAGAACATTCTAGAATAAAAAAAAATCACATAAGTTTTATCTGTGTTCCAAATCTTAAGACTTCTTTATCATTTGGAACTATGTATGTTGAAGGCAGGAAGAAGACAGGTAAAATACTACTAGTAATCTGTGGGTTTCTGCCCAGGTGTAATCCACTGTACCAGGCAGGCAGGAAAACTCAGCCACAGACATGCAAACAACTCCATGGAAGCTTTCCAGGAAGTGTGTGTCATTTTTGTCTGCTGGAGAGGACTGCCTCTTGAATACATTAGGTTAATGAATTAATTAATTTGTGTAACCACAGGTCAGGTGATCACTGCCAGTATTGCAGATATCATTGCAAACTACTCATTCAAGGATATTCTAAGGAAACTGGCTGGAGAAAAGCAGACAGATGTGGCTCCTGCTTCCTACGATGACAGC